AAGCAGGCTGAACAAGCCAGTAAGCAGCACCCCTCCGTGGCCTCTGGCCTCCGTGGCCTCTGGCCTCCATGGCTCCTCCAGGTGCCTTCCCTGTTAGAGTTCCTGCCCTGACTTCCTTAGATGACGAGCCATGGTGAAATGTAAGCCAAATAAGCCCTTTTCTCCACAACCTGATTTTGGTCATGTGTGTTTAATCGCAGCAGTAGAAACCATAACATATTTGGCTACTTAGATTAAGACCAGTCTGGGATACAAGTGATCTGAGAGTGAAGGAGAGGGGAGAAAGTAAAAATCAACAATTGTCAGACTAGATTCCTTTACACATCCAGAAGTCAATAGCAAAAGCATTCACCCAGTCTGTCTGACAGCCCTTGGCCAGCTTCTAGGCCCTCTTAGTCCACTGCCTATACCCTCTGAAAGTCCAGTTGAGGCCAACAAGAAAATGGAGGCCTAGATTCTGTTACCTTTAAAGATGAAGTCATGTAACGATAACTACGGTACCAGAATTTGTGTTGCCTATCACCACCGTGAGTCAGGAATTGAATCCCTGAGTTGTTCCTTTTCCATAGAGCTGGCGATTTGAGAAGGTGACACATTAACATCTTTAAAACACTGCCTCATCTTGGACTGTAGCTCTGGGTAGAGTGCCCTCACAGTAAGTACATAGGAGGCTTTGGATTGGATCATTAGCACTACCAAAAAAGCCAGGTGCAGTGGTGCATACCTGTATGGCACCCAGAATTTGGGCAGTGGAGGCCAGAGATCAGGAGTTCAAAGTTGTACTCAGCTACTTACTATGTTTATGGCCACCCTGGGCTCTATCAGACCTGCCTCAGAAACAACTGAAACCTCGCACGTTTCATAAGGATGGGAGCAAAGGCTGGCAGTCATTCCAAAGTTCCATCTTGTCCCTCTGGTTGTGTAGTCAGCCTTGTCTTCTGAGATCCTTGATGTTGATGTCTCTATTATCTCCTACGCCTTATCATAATGGTCTCTGCTGAAGAGTCTGTACGATTCCTGGGCCTCCGATTTCTTGATGGTATGTGCACACATGAACACACACACCCCAGAAATAGAAGACCTGGTAAACTTAATTAGGAAGTCATCAGTAATGTAGGCAAGGGTGGTTTTGCGGAGAACAGAGGGGTAAATGTGACACTGAGAAGCACACAGTAAGTCATAAAATAGTTGGTATCAACCACTGAGGTACTTCTCAACTGTTCTTAGGCAAATGCATTGAGAGGTTTAAGAAGCTGGGCATGGTATGTATGCTGCGTCTATGGCCCTGGCTAAGCAGAGTTAAGGGCACTACTTGATTCAAAGAGCTTACAGCCAGTCTGGGGAGCACAAAAAAAAAAAAACCACACACAAAACCCTTGCTTCAAGAAAAACAAAACAAAATAAACAAAAAAACCCCAAAACTTTAGAATACAGAATTATATATGTACTCATGAATATATGTAAATGAGGCTCATTAGCACCCCCACCTCCAGGACTTGCAGGCAGTTAATGTTTGGTGAGGGAGACATTTTCTTCATGGTATAGCCACTTGGGCAAGATGCCCACGATCCTGTAAGCAACCCTAATCAATTTCATTAGGGGTCCCCCCCAATAAAATTAAACATGAAGTAGAAAGGGACATGAGAGAAGGTAATGGGGTATGTGTGACTAGGACCAAAGATATTATACATATTAAGAAAACATCATAATAAAATCATATATATATAACATGTGTGTGAGCTGTCATGTGGAACTGGAAAACCCCAGATCCTCTGGAAGAGCAGCCAGTGCTCTTAACTGCTGAGCCATCTCTTTAGCTCCCAAATAATGTACCCTTAAGTTCTTTGTGCATGACAGAAATTCTGGCTAGACGCTTATTACCAAGTCAAGCAGGTTAGTTTCTAAGGTTTTCAAACAGGTCTGAAGTGCTTCCCTGCCTCCAGCACAGGACAGTGTTCCGTGACGGCCACATGTGCATCAGGACACAGAGGCTGATGTGACTGTCTTCTGCAGCTACTCGTCACCTTGTATTTCCAGGTAGAGTATCTGTCACTCCTGGATCTGGAGAATACTGGAACTGGCTAGACTGGCTGGCCAGTGAGCCCCAGGATCTACCCACCTTTACACATCTTCATCACTGGGATTATACGTGCATGGCACCACACCCAACTCTTTATGTGGGTGCTAGGAGCTGAACTCAGTCCTCATGCTTGTTTGCCAAGCACCTTACTGACTGAACTCCTAGCCCAGCTAGGAGTAATTTTAAGAAGGTTGCTCTGAATCAGTTTTAGAATAGAAAAGAGTTGTGCTTTCTGCCCCAACCTTAGTTTATTTTTTAGAATTTTATGTTCATGAGTGTTTTGCTTACATGTGTGTTTTGCTTACATGTGTATGTCTGGTGCAGAAGGATGTCAAAAGGAGGCATCAGATCTCTTGGAACTAGAGTTACAAATGGTTGTGAGTCACTATGTAGGTGCTGGGAACTGAACCTGGACACTCTGCAGGATTTAAGTACTTTTAACCCTCAAGCCATCGCTCTGTCCCCCTGCTTCAGCTTTATAGAACCTTTTTAAATGTGGAGCTTTGGTATAGAGTATGGCAGCACAACTTGTAATCTCAGCACTTGGAAGGTGGAGGCAGGGGATCAAGTTCAAGATAAACATTAGCTATGTGTCAGATTCAAAGCCAGCTTGGGCTACATGAGACTATTTAAAAAACCAATATGGTACCGTGATACTATTAACAGGTTTAAAACATTTATCCTTAAAAATTCTAGCAAACAGAGTAGGGATATAGTCAGTGAGTGAAGTCCTTGCCCACCATTGTGAAATCCAGGGAATGAGCATCTGTACTGCATGGAGTTGGATATAGTGGTGTGAGTGCAACCTTAGCACCTGGGAATGGGAGGCAGGGAAGTTTGTCATCCCAGGCCGTACACAAGTACGGCCTGAGCTATGTGGAAACCTGTCCCACCTGCCCCCTTCAAAATACTAGTATTTTCTTTGAAAAATCTTAGTTTTAATTTTTTTTTTTTTGGTTTTTAAAACATCCTTTATTGTATGTGCACTGGTATTTTGTCTGCATGTATGTCTGTAGAGGATGTTGGATCTTCTGCAACTTGAATTACAGATGGTTAGAGCTGCCATGTGGGTGCTGGAATTTGAACTCAGGACCTCTGAAAAAGCAGCCATTGATTTTAGCCACTGAGCTGTCTCTCCAGCTTCCTTCCCCCTTTTATTTTCTGGATAGGTTTCTGTGTAGCCTTGGCTGTCCTGGAACTCTGTAGATCAGGCTAGCCTCTATCTACCTCCTAGAGACCCACTTGCCTCTGCCTCCCAAAGTGCTGGTATTAATGGTATGTGCCACCACTGCCTGGCTGAAAATCTGTTAAGACTTTTAAATATTTATGCTTTTATGCTATTCTGACAAAAATGGAAATTTAAGAAAATGGAAATGAAAATTTATTTCTAGCCCTGAAAGAACAAAATTATTTAGTCATCAAATACAGCAGTTAATAGCAAAGTACAATTGATGTGTTAAATTTAAAATAGAAGGCAATATAAAATTTGAAAACAAAACAGAAATAGGCTACTTTTATCCAACTCAACTTCTACCTACCAAAAGAAGGAAAGCAAAACAAAAAAATAAATTAAAAAGCAACTACTTTCCAAACAAATACTTTGAACTTCAACCAATTACTTTTCTTGACACAGAATGAGCATGTTTGACAAGGTTATCATTTTTTTTCTGCTCTTCAGGTAGCATAGAGCAGTGAACGAGAAAGACTTAAGTTCTTTCAAGGCCAGGCCAGTGCTTTAATCTGTTCCTAACTCTAACATCATCGAACACAGCATCTTTGCCACAGCAGTCAGCGAATGTACTGACAAGAGAGGGAATATGTGTGGATGTTTCCTACACACACACTACAGAAAAACTACTTAAATATCTATCATAGAATAGCAGTGGGAGACCAATCTGTTTTGTATAGTGCTATGAGATTCTGTTAGAAAAACCAAAAAGTAATATTTAACAAGATTTTAGCAATTGTTTTTAATTTGAAATTATACAATACTACCAAGTAGTGGCCTATATACTTTGTATTTTTAGTGGAACAAGCGATGAAGATTGGGGCTTTGTGTGTGATAGGCATGTGATTCACCACTGAGCTACACCCCTGGTCCCATTAACTACAGTCTGAATCTGTATTAGAAAAAAATTTAAACATAAGACACAGTGGTGCATACCTTTAATTCCACTACTTGGGCAGCAGAGGCAGGAAGATAGCTATGAGTTCCAGGCTAGACTCATCTAAGCTAGCCAGGCCTATATAGCAAGACCCTGTCTCAGAAAAGAAAGAAAACATTTTGTTATCTATGAGTCTGTATGTATGTGGGAGTGTATATTGAGGTCAGAAGCCAACGAGAAGGATCAGTTCTCTCACTCTTGTGGCTAGGCTCAGCAGACAGTGCCCTTGTCCACTGCTCACTGGTCCCATAACATTCTGACAATTTACCGATTACAGATCTCAGTATGCTTCTAAGATTTTCATATTCAAAACTGGATGCAGACTGTTTCAACACCCGCCTTCTAATAACCGTGGTCTAATAAGGTCTAAAAAGCATTCAGGCAACAACACGGTACATATACATGAGCCCAGGAAGAAATAGTTTGTGGCAGCTTACAGCTGCCTGTCAAGGCCCAACACATTTAGGACTGGTGGTCACGAGACACAAGTCAAGCAGCGTAATGTTCTCTGTGGAAGGGAACGCAATGCATGATGTCAGAGCTGTGCTAGTCATGGTGCATAGATTGAAAATACCTTTGCAACCACCATAAAGTCTGTAAGGTAATAAATAAGCAGTAAGGCAAACAGTTCCTAAGGACACAAGAGGACTATTAAGGGAGGCTCTGACGGGGATCCTACTCTAAGAGCTGGCAAAAGAGGGAATACAGAGGTAATTATTAAAAAAAAAAAAATATATGAATCTCAATTCATACACTTGTCTTTCAACAGGATCTCAACATTTTAATTTAAAATTAACTAATAAATCACAATTCTATATTGCTTTAAAGATTATTTTGTTTAAAAATGACACATCTCAAAATTAACCGTTACTATTAGCTATTCCAGGTTAGTTTATCCAGGTCAGGAGAGAATAAACCACAGTGCAGCTCCCTTAACCTTGGAGTCAGGCTTGAATGACAGAGTCCGTTGCCAGCAATGGACATGCAAATAACCATCCAAGAAATTGTAAATACAAACCCCAGACTGCTTCTGTTGTGTAAAAGCCCTTGTGGAGTCACAGCATAAAGAGGGGCAGTGGCATGTGTCCCTGCGCTCTCTATGATGTAGGATGGAGCACCTTCCTGAGCAGTCCCACCATGTAGCTGGCTTTCCACTATGCTGGCAGCACTGCCATCACACTATGCAGACAGCTGCTTACAAACAAGGCTCACGGCCAGAACTCGAGGCAGCACAGCTTCTCACCACAAACAACAGGTTGTTCCTGTAATTTAGTGACAGGTGTAGGAAAATATAGTCCAGAGAAAGAACTCACATGGACAACAGGCCAGTAAGTGCTCTAGATGTTGACTTTCGCTGAAGCCTTTCTGCTATCAAAAACCCTAGTGGTCTCTTCTTATCCCCAAATTCTAATAGGAACAACAGGCAATGAAACCCTGCCCTTTTCCCCAACCCAAAGAGCAAACTTATTCATTCATGATGTGTACTCTGCAGAATGTGCTCTCATGTATCAGGTTCTTTGAAAGGGAATGGTGGGGACAAACCTGCACCAACAACAGACATTTCTTTTCTATGGTTGCAGGACCGTAGAATAGACAGCAATACCTCCTCCACAGGCAAAACAACAAAGCAACACAGAGAAGCAAAGAACAGGAAAGACAGGAGGGGAGAGAGGGCAGCTAACAGCTAATACTACAGGTCACAGACCTTTTATCAAATCTTTAAAATAAAAAGTATTCCTAACGGTACAAACACTGCAGTTTTCTGACTCCAGTTTTTTACAATGAATACCCTACTCATTTGGAAAAACAAACACTAAAGTACCCAACACCTCAAATGATCCATCAAGTACTGTGCTATTTCATCTCTCATGAACAGTAAAACATTGATAATGGGTTGGGAACACAGAAGGTTAGATGAGTCTTTACAGTTCGCTGCCATAAGCTTCACCTCTACAATATTGACATTTCATTATTGCAACTAGCCTAGAACTCTCCGAAGTTCAAATCTCACTTGGTTTCTGCTAGTCCCAAATATTTTTCCTTTTAAGTAGGAAAAGCCTTAACTTTTAAATTTTGAAAATTCAATGGTTATTACTTGTCCTAGAGGGTGGAAGGGGTGTATGTGAAATAAGGGTTGACTCAAAAATGACACCTAAAATCACAACATATATAGACACTCATTTCCAAGGAATCACGGGGAAGGGAGTGGCACCAAAGTTAAAGCCCTCAAGAACAAGCATCACTTTGGTTCCTAAAGCCAAATAGGAGAAGAGACAGACAGGAAAGAAGACAAAATAGTGAGAACATACAGTCAGTGGGATTTTTTTTCTCTGTATCAATGATTTAGTTATAAATATAGATTATTAGTCCTCTTTCTATACATGTAACAAATGTCAAACTCACTACCATGAAATTTCTAAAGCTGACTCGTTCACATTTGTTAAAAAAGGTAAAAATCACATACTTTCCCCTTTTCAGTTTAAGCTCTGAACTGAAATACTACATGTACAACAGCTGGTCCTAACTTCTATAAAAAGTTAAAACATGTCAAGCTCCTTTCCCAATATAAAGAGCTACATAATTTTATCACATCTGCCTTGAATTTAGGCATAAGAAAAACTCAAAGCGACAACTCAAGAGGAACGGGTTAGAGGAAGGTTAGAGAAGACCAGCAGATGAAATACTGGGAAAAACTCGAATCTGACATTCAAGTATGGGAAATTCCCCAAAGGAGACGATGAACAGGATCTACATACTAAGAGTCATTAAAACAGTACGTAAGCATCAAGCGCTGTCTGCTGAGAAATGTAAGGCTAGCGATGCAGTCCACGATTCCTTTTGGACCCTAAAGCAGGGGCTCATTTCAGTCATAACTCTTACTGCAATTTTCTCTTGGTCATCTTTAGAAAATAATAATTTGCTTTTTTTTCTCCATGTGATGCAGACTTGTCTCTTTATACCCCTCAGAGTAACAATTTCATGTATTAAAAGACTTCTTTTAGAAAATGGATAGGGAACAGGAGGCTTCGGTGACAAAGTTAGCGATTACTCTTCATTGCTTCTTTAGCTGCCAGGATCAGCGGCGTCAAGCTAGATAATGGTTTGGCCAGTTTCAGGAAAGGGTGCTGCCAAATGAAAGGGAGAAAAAAGAAGCTTAAAAGTGTTACTCAGTTAGAAACTAAAGCCCCCAAATTACCTCTGGATCATCATTTAACAAACTAAACCACTCACACTCAGCACATCACTTTTATAGCTCCAAGGAGGGGTGGTTTGTGTGTGGTGCATGAGCTTGCTTGTATCTGTGCACTGCCATCATATCTGTGTGCATCTGTGGAGGCCAGAGGTCAGTGTCCGGAGCTCTCCTCTGTCACTCTTCCCCTTATTTCCTGACAGTCTCTCACTGAACCTGGTGTCTCCTGATTGGTTAGGCTGACCAAACAAGCCCTAGGGGTCTGTCTACTCCCTCAGCTCTAGGGTTTATAGACATATATAGCCACACTTAGCTTCTTATGTAGGTGCTAGGGATCAAAACTCAAGTCCTCATGCTGTGTAGTAGGCACTTTATCAACTGACACGTCTACCAGTCTGGTTTTGGCCTTCTGAGTTAAGGTCTACATAGCTTATCCTGGCCTCAAACTCACAGCAATCTTCTTGCCTACTACCTAAGAAGTTACCCCCTTTCTCTCCCTCCTCCTCTTCCCCCCCCCCACTTCCTCCCCCTTCTTTACTTTTCCGTTTTTTGAGATAAAGTTTCTCTGTATAGCTCTGGCTATCCTTGAACTCAAAGATCCTTGAAGTGTGGGAATAAAGTTTTGCACCATTATACCTAGATCCTATTTATTTATTTATTTATTTATGTATGTATTTTGGTTTTTCGAGTCAGGGTTTCTCTGTGTAGCCCTGGCTGTCCTTGAACTCAGAAATCCGCCTGCCTCTGCCTCCCAAGTGCTGGGATTAAAGGTGTGCGCCACCACCGCCCGGCTTTTATTTTCTTAAATTACATTCATTTAGTGGCGACTGTGTGTGTGTGTGGAAGGGGGTTCTAGGGATCAAGCTTAGGCATTCAGGCTTGGTGGCAAGTGCTTTTACCCAGAGAACCACTTAACACCAAATAAGTTTTGCTAACTGCTTAACATCTACAGATTTAAGGGGCCAGAGAGATAGCTCAGAAGGCAGAGTGCTTGCCTTACATGCATAAAGGCCTGGGTTCAATCCCTAGCACTGCAGATCATTCCCCATCTTTAAGCACATTAGTGAGCTGTAGGCCAGCTTGGACCACATATATAGAAGTGAATAAAGAAATAAAAATTAGCTCTTCAGAGCTAATAGTCATAAATATACTCATGATAAAAATGAACAGGTCCAAGAGTTGATCAATTACTGAAGCTTACTACTGTGATTAAAAAATTATGGAATTAAACATTCTTTTTAAGGACCAAAGAGATGGTTCAGCAGATAAAGGCACTTGCTAACAAGTCTGATGACCTGCCTCTCATCCCTGAGACCTACTTGGTGGAAGGAGAACACCAACTCCTGCAAGTCTCCTTCATGCATGTCTGTACGCACACACATGCACACACATACACACAATTAAATTTGGAAACAAACTTTACAAACAGAAATGAAAGCCTAAAATGCAGCAGCAGCTGGACTCTTGGCAAGTAAATAGGGAAACATGAGCACCACACCAAGTTCATCTCCCAAACTTACCTGTAACAGTTCTTTGGCTGAACCCCTTTTCTCCACATCCATTTCCAAACACCGATTTAAGAAATCCCGAAATATTGGGGAAAGTTTTTCTGGATTCTGAAGTTCAGGAGTTCCATTTGTTGCTATTAGGTATAATGCCTAAAAATAGAACATTTTGGCATATTAAGGTCTCTCACAAAATGACAGTGCATCAAGTTTCACATACTGGCCTATATAATCCTGCACTCTCCAGTGGCAGTTTTTTTTTTTCTGTTCATACTCAGGGCTTTATGCTCCTCACTGCTCTTCAAGACCTTTAGCACCCACCTAACTCGTGAGCCCAACGGCCAGGATATGGCTCCTTTCTTGTTTCGGTGGCAAGGACGTGCAGGCGACTCTTCCTCACTCTGTCACTGGAGCTCTTTGCGCTGGGATCTCTAGTGCTACTCCTGTCCCAATTTGTGGTCATTTTAGCAGCCACAGAGAAGCAGTCACATTCCCCAACCTCTTCTCCCGAGGCTTCTGCAGACATGGTTCCAGGCACACTCTCCCCCCTCCCTTTGTCAGGATGGGAGCTGCAGTACCGGATGCAGATGCACTCCACAGTTCATCCTTTTCAGCTTAGTGCCCCAACACTCATTTGTCATTTCCGTGTGTGTGTGTGTGTGTGTGCGTGCGTGCGTGCGTGCGTGCGTGCGTGCGTGCGTGCGTTGTGGTGGAGACCAGACCCTGTTGCACTTTCCATGGAGCCTGTCAGCTCATGTCAATTCTCCACCTACTTTACTTCACAGTATTCTCTTGGATCAATGTGATTAAAGTTCTTACTACTTCTTCCCTAAGTCTAAGCAGCTAAGTATGGTGATAGAAAAGGCAAAATCATACTGGCTAACATCTCTTAAAACTGACATCTACTTAAACTGGGCATGAAATCTCAGCATTCCAGAGGCAGGAGAATTAGTTGGTCTATGTATAGCAAGTTCTAAGCCAAGTAGAGCTTCAAAGTGCCTTACCACCAAGAAACAAAATGAAACCACAACCCGAATAAATCATTACCTCATATGGGCTCAGTGTTTTCTTTTTTTTTTTTTTTAAAGTCTTTTTTTTTTTAAGATTTTATTTATTTATTTTATATATATGAGGAATACACTGCAGCTGTCTTCAGACCCACCAGAAGAGGGCATCAGATCCCATTACAGATGGTTGTGAGCCACCATGTGGTTGCTGGGAATTGAACTCATGACCTCTGGAAGAGCAGTCAGTGCTCTTAACCGCTGAGCCATCTCTCCAGCCTCGGGCTCAGTGTTTTCAACAACCACAAAAGATTTCCTTACTCCCATTCTCCCTTTCTCGTTTTTTTTTTTTTTTTTTTTTTGGTTTGGTTTTTCGAGACAGGGGTTTCTCTGTGTAGCCCTGGCTGTCCTGGAACTCACTCTGTAGCCTCGAACTCAGAAATCCACCTGCCTCTGCCTCCCAAGTGCTGGGATTAAAGGTGTGTGCTGCCACCAGCCAACTAGTCTCCTTTACTTATTGCAGAGTATAGTCTAGTCTCTCATGACTAGACTGGCATTAAGATCACTGAAGATGTACTTATTTTCATTGTAGCACAGCAAAGGTCCATGCTGTCTTTCTCTTTAAATTTTCATTATTTTATTTCATGTGTATGGTTGTTTTGCCTGCATGTATGCTTGTGCATCATGTGTATATCTAGTGTCTGTGGAGGCTAGAAGAGGGTGTTAGATCTCCTGGAACGAGAGTTACAGATGGTTGTGAACTGCCATGAGTGCTAAGAACCTAACCTGGGTCCTCTGCAAGAGCAGCCTGTGTTCTTACTGATGAGCCATCTCTCCCGACCCTCTCCTTCTCCCTCCCTCCCTCCCTCCCCTCCTCCCTCCCCCCCCCCCCCCCCCCCCCCCCCTGTCTCTCTCTGTTTTTTTTTTTTTTTTTTTTTTTGGAGACAGGGTTTCTCTGTGTAGCCCTGGCTGTCCTGGAACTCACTCTGTAGACCAGGCTGGCCTCGAACTCAGAAATCCGCCTGCCTCTGCCTCCCAAGTGCTGGGATCAAAGGTGTGTGCCACCACTGGCCAGCCTCTCCTTGTGTCTTGAGACAGCATTTTGGCTTTGTAGCTCTGACTGGCCTGGTACTCACTGAATAGCTGACACTGGGTTCAAACTTGTGGTTATCCTCCAGCCTTAACCTCTTGGTGCTACATTACAGGTCTGAGCTACTGTAAGGAAATTTAAAGGAAGGAGTGGTAGAATCTCATCCTCTCAGCTGCTGGAATACTCAGTTCAATCTATTCTTTTGTGTGAACATAGGCTTTAACATTACCATTTAGGCATATTATCTAAAGGATCTAACCTTTCCTCTAGCCTTGGAACATAGGGGCCAAGGTTCATGGGTGAGAACCTTCTTGCTATATACAGGGTACCTAAAGGTGCAGGAAAAGGCACCAAATGGGCTGGTATGTGGTATGTGACTAAACAAGGGTTCTTCCTTAGAACTCATGATGCCATGGGTTCAGGTCTCAGCACCACATACAACTGTGTGGTAGTGGTACACTTCTGTATTTCCAGTACTTGGGAAGTAGAGGTAGGAAAGTCAGAAATTCAAGGGTCATTTACAGCTACAAAGCACCCCCACACACTGTAACCAAAAAGAAAAAAAGAAAAAAGAAAAAACTCAAAACCCAAAACCAACACCTATTTAGGGTAGTAATTCTTTAGGCGATTAGATTTACAGACACACAAAACTATATAACTCACTACCCCAAATCTACAAACTTTTGAACTCTCTACTCTGTAACTCAGAAGCAATACTTAAATATAGAAAAAGAAAAGTGCAAAGTATGTTTTGAAGAGAAGAACTTTTTCTGGGTCCTGAGTGATGGCCGCCAAGTGGGACAAATTGAGTTAAATCCAAGAACTGACAAGGTACAGAGAGAAACCACTCCCACACATTTTCCCCTGGCCTCTGTGCATGTGCTGTGGCAAACATAGATGCAAAATATTCTTTTAAAGAAGAATGCAAACTGTTCTTAGAGCCAGACGGTGTTTTATCAGTCTTACCCGTAAAGGATTCTCATTGAGGTATGGAGGCTCTCCTTCAACCATCTCGATGGCCATGATGCCCAGAGACCATATGTCAACTTTGGGACCATAGGCTTTCCGTGTAACCACCTCTGGTGCCATCCAGTACGGCGTTCCAACCATAGTGCTGCGTTTGCTCTGTTCAGGGGTGATCTGGGCACAGAAGCCAAAATCAGCTACAGAAAAAAGCAAAGCAGCAGGATTAATGGCTTCAAGGGGAACTTCCACATATCCTCTTCAGAATAAAGCAAAGCACCAGGTTAATAGCTGAAGTGTCCACATATCCACATCAGCAGACATGACTGTGCTTCCACCACTCAACCTCTTCTCTGTAAAGAACGTGAATATAGGGCTGGAGAGATGGCTCAGTGGTTAAGAACATGAACTGCTCTTCCAGAGGTCCTGAGTTCAATTCCCAGCAACCACATGGTGGCTCACAACCATCTGTAATGGAATCTGATGCCCTCTTCTGGTGTGTCTGAAGACAGCGACAATGTACTCATATACATAAAATAAATATAAAAAAGAAAGATTATAAGAACGTGAATATAAAGCAAAGCAGGCCAAGTTTAAAGTTTTTTGAGGTTCTGATTTACTAATAATTTTCACATTCACTTTTCACAACAACATATAAATTATCAGGCTTTGATCTTCTGAGTAACTCAATTCTTTAAAGTTAAAATTTGAAAGAGGCCGGGCAGTGGTGGCGCACGCCTTTAATCCCAGCACTTGAGAGGCAGAGGCAGGCGGATTTCTGAGTTCGAGGCCAGCCTGGTCTACAGAGTGAGTTCCAGGACAGCCAGGGCTATAGAGAGAAACCCTGTCTCGAAAAAAAAAAAAAAATCTGGACATGTTCAGAACATGGAAACTACGTTTCTTTCATTTTGGTTGGTTGTTGGTTTTTAATACTTTCTTTTAACATTTATTTTGTGTATGTAGGATGCATGTCTGAGTTTAAAGGACAATTTTCAAAAGTTCATTTTCTCTCACTGTGTGAGTTCTGAGAACTGAACTCAGGTTGGCGGTCTTGATAGCAAACATGTTTACTGGCTGAGCCACCTAGCCAGCAGAAACTTGCATTTGAGTAAAATAATCAAAGCCTGAATCACTATGCATCTAACTTAGCAGAAGACTTAGAAAAGACCACACTTAGCTGTAACTGCACAGGAGGTGCTCCAACATCTTATTTACATTCAAGGAGCAAGAGGCCTACGATAGTATCCGATGCTGGCTGGGATAAGAAGTTACAATTTTTCCTTTCCTTCTGATGTTAAACCCATTTAAAACATTTTACTGTTCAGATTTTCTTCAGACAGTTCCATGAACTCAAGACGTAGTCAGGAAAGACCTTTAAGGTCAGACATGGTGGCACATGCCATTAATCCCAGCAATTGATAGGGAGGCAGAAGCAGGCCTGTGCGTTTGAGGCTGGTTTACACAGTGAGTGCCAGGACAGCCAGAAATACATAGTGAGGAGACCTTATCTCAAGACAAAAATAAAAACAATACCAACACAAACAAAACCCAAAAAAGAAAGACCTTGCTCGAACTCTGAAGCCTCCAAACTCGAGCTTAATATTGATGAACTACTTGACTTGTTTTATTTTGTAACTTGTTTTAAAAAACTTTGTTTTCTTTGTTTTGGAGATAGGGTCTTACTGTGTAACTAGACTGGCCTTGAACTCACTGGAATTAAAGGCATGTGCCACCAGAGCTGGCTTCATTTCTGGCTTTGGGAAGATAGGGTCTCCTACTATAGTCCTCAAATTAGCAGCAATCCTTCTGCCTCAGCTTCTTGAGTGTAGGGATTATAGGCATGTCCCATTCCAAATTAGTTTTAGATTATCTTTTTATTTTAGTATATTATCAGTTGAATTCTTAAAAATATTAAATATCAATGTTCTGCTCAACATTTAAGATATTTAGTTTTCCCTTATAATGTTCTGGGTCTCTTTCATACATATATTCAGTAATTCTATAAATGAGACTATTAAAAGTGTAACTGTTGGGTAAACTAGTATTTATACTGAAAATTAACATTTATAATAAGCCAGGGACATGCCAAGTAATCTTTAAAAAGTTATTTAATACGTGTAGGAGAGAGAAAAATGAATACACACACACACTCACACACACTTTGAGGCTAAAGGAGATACAGGATACTGTCTCAAACACAAAGGGGTGGTGCACAGCTTAGTAGAGTGGTCTAGGTTTAGTCCTCAAACTACATAAAACTGGGTGTGGTGGGACATCTGTAACTTGAGAGGCAAAAGGCAGGACTAGTGCAGGTTCATGGCCACCCTAGGCTAAACAGCAAGCCCCACAGCAAAAGAATAACAATTTCTGATTATTAAGTAATATTTTAGAGAACATAGCTGAGAAAGGAGGGGTGGGGGCGGGGAACAGGCCCTTTTAGGAGATCGGATTTAAAATAATCTTAGTTTCTTGCTTCAATGCTTTGAGTTGTAAAACTAGAGAATTCTTGTGTCTTGAGGAGTCGTCTGGCTGTTTCATGACCTTCCTGCATCTGACAGATAAGATCTTAGGAAAAGGAGATTGTTTTCCATGTCCTCGAGGTCAAGTGTGACCATCTCCACAAAATTCTAAGAAGGTGAAGGGGGTGGGCTGAGAAAAATACTCCAAATAATTACAGACACCTAGTCACGTGTCTCCTACAAGCAGAATCAGTATCAAGGCAGCCCAGATGGTCCTTGGAATATTACTTTGTTTTAATCTCAAAAATAATTCCCAACATTATTATTTTCCTTATTGTACATTTGCAAAAACAGACAAAAAAAGATCAGGTAACTTGCTCAAAGTATTCATCAAGTAGTAACAGCTTTGCTATGAACACAAGTTGCCCAGTACACAATGCACATTTAACAAGCCACCGACCTTCACACGATCACAGATATATTAATAAAACATCATTTCATTGCTACTCACTAAGTTTAACTGAGCCTTCCATTCCCAAAAGCACGTTGTCACTTTTAATGTCTCTGTGGATCACTTGATTAGCATGTAAAAACTCCAACGCCTGTAAACACTGAACAGAGAAAACAGCTATCAGTGAAACAGCCCAACAAGTCTAAGGGAGATCACAGAGAGATGCAATAGCCCGAGAACTGCTCTATCTAGCAGGAGACCCTCCAAGATTTAACATTTGTAGAGAAGTTAAGAAGTACAAACAAGGACACAACCCTGTGTGGACGTGATGCAACACGACTATAATCTAAGCACGGGCAGTCTCCAGGGCTGTACAAAGCAACACTATTTAAAAAAAAAAAAAAAAGACCTTGAAACCAAGATTTTCTTCCACAGTCTGCCCTTGAACTCTACTGTGTAGCAAGATGATGGGAGCTCCTGATCCTCCTGCTTCAGCTTCACAATGCTGGTATTATAGGATGGGCTACTACACTTGGCTTATTAAATAATGCCTCATTTTCTTGGTCACTGCTTTTAGAGGTCAGAGTAGGTAGAGTTTTTTTCTATACCCTAAGCTGGCTTGGAGAGCCCAGTAATCCTTTGCTTCAGTCTCATGAAGTACTAGGACTACAGATACAAGTCACTGAACCAGGAGATGGGTTCCCCACCCATTTAAAAAAAAAAAGCATTTTATTTTAATTATGTGTGGGAAGGGTAGTTTTGTACTTGAGTTCATTGCTTTCAGGAGCCAGAAGAGGAAATGGGAACTCCTGTAGTTGGAGTTATAGGTAGTTGAAAGTAGCCAGATATGAGTGCTGGGAACCAAACCCTGGTCCTCTTAAGCGCAGGAAGCATTCTTAACCACAAAGCCATCTTTACAAGCTCCACTTCCCACTGATTTTCAAAATGTAGTTTTCAATGGCTTCACTTATAAAATGTTGACTGGGCCTATTTAACTTCTAGGTCTTTTCAGGTTTAAATGACTAATGCTACACTGCACTTGGTAAGTATACACAGGTTCTTGAGAAATTACATCAACTAAAGTGCACTTGTGACCAGGCATAGGGTAGGGGCACATCTTTAATCTTAGCACTCAGGAGGCAGAGGAAGGAGCATTTTTGTGAGGCTAGACAGAGTTACATAGTAAGACCTTGGCACATAGATACAAGAATGAATTATGATTATTCTCATTAGAAACTGAGATACTTCTAAGTCTAATTAATATAAGCCATGGAAAAAGTAGGTAAGATTTGGGTAGTTTGGCTCTGGTTCAAGGCTTCAATGTGTAAGCTGACACTCTCATACTTTCACTATATGCATGGTCTGATGAGATGAGCGCTGGCAGTAGGGCTCAGTGGCCCAGCACTAGCATGCAGGGGGCTCTGGGGCTCGATGCCAGCACAAAAAGACAACATAAGAGCCCTCAGCATAAAAGAGTAACTCTGTCCTGATGCCTCACACCAGAAAGCACCTAGTAAAAAAGACTAGGTTTCTCCCTTCCTTAAATACAAAAGGAGGGCTGGAGAGATGGCTCAGCAGTTAAGAGCACTGACTGCTCTTCCAAAGGTCCTGAGTTCAATTCCCAGCAACCACATGGTGGCTCACAACCATCTGTAATGGGATCTGATGCCCTCTTCTGGTGAGTCTGAAGAGAATGACAGTGTACTCACATAAAATAAATAAGTAAATCTTTTTTTTTTTTTTTAAATTCAACTCCTCATTTAAGGGGAAAAAAAAACCCAGACACCCTGATTAGGCTCTCAGAAAGAATAAAGGGGAGGAAAACATATACAAATATACAATCTGTTACAGTTCTAAAATGCTGGCACATGAAGATAATCAAAGTGAATGGATGACAGCACTTCTTACACCCACTGTTAGATCGACTGAGAACTGCTGGGAAAAAAAAAAACAACAACAACAACTAAACAAACACTTAAATTTTACCCAGCTTTTAAGTGACCAAGCATAAACATGCTCTTAAAAGGATGTGTGCTATGTGGAATAGGAAAGAGCTTAGTTGGTAGAGTGCTGGCCAAGAGTGGATAAAGTTCTCGGTAAATCTCCAGTACTGTGTCACACTGGGTATGGTGGTGCATGCCTGTAATCCCAGCACTTAGGAGGTGGAGGCAGGAGGATCATCAGATCATGCTCCCTGAATATTGTTTGAGGCCAGCCAGGACTACATGAAGCCTTATCTTATATAACAGTTGGTTAATATTTTCTCTTTTTCCTTCCTTCCTTCCTTCCTTCCTTCCTTCCTTCCTTCCTTCCTTCCTTCCTTCCTTCCTTCTTTCTTTCTTTCTTTCTTTCTTTCTTTCTTTCTTTTTCGAGACAGGGTTTCTCTGAATAGCCCTGGCTGTCCTGGAACTCACTCTGTAGATCAGGCTGGCCTCGAACTCAGAAATCCACCTGCCTCTGCCTCCCAAGTGCTGGGATTAAAAGCGTGCGCCACCACTGCCCGGCTCGGTTAATATTTCCTAAGAATCATGTTTTAAACACCTTTAATAAAAGCTGAAATAGAACGACCTTATCTATGGAGTGTTTCCAGTTCATATATGCATTACTGTAGTCGCTGAAAGCTAAAGCCAAATCACAGAGAGCACAGAAGAGTCCTGTGAACTTAACACTTTTGCTTAAGCAAACAGCATCCCAGACACTCGTTAGTAACTATAAAGTGCAGGCCAGTGAGGTGGCTCAGCAGTTTGTATGGGCTTCCAGCTGCCAAACCTAAAGATTTGAGTTCAGTTCCCCAGACACATATGGTGATAGGCGAGAACAGACTCCCACAAATTTTCCTGTGATTTTCATGTATATGTCATGGCATGCACATGCTCACATATATGCACATATGCATACACATGCAAGTAAAAATGTAGTAAAATTTTTTAAATATACAAGAAAACAACTAGTCCCTTCACCTTCAGTGGTCTTTACTAGAGCCAAGGGAAATGCACAGATACTTCAGAAAATATGTCTTGCTTATCACACTGGCTCTACTTCTCACTACTGAATTACATATTTAAAAAAAAGATTTATTTATATGAGTACACTATAGCTGTCTTCAGACACACCAGAAGAGAACATCCAATCCCATTACAGATGGTTGTGAGCTACCATGTGGTTGCTGGGAATTGAACTCAAGACTTCTGGATGAGCAGCCAGCGCTCTTAACTGAGCCATCTCTCCAGCCCTGAATTACACATTTTTAATGCTATCATATTTTACTTTGAAGTGTGTCCTATCTGGATGATATAAACCATTATAATCATGCTGCTAAAGTCTGCCTATGACTTCTGTACCTCACAAAACTAAATCTTGTTCCACTGGCAGGAAAGAGCTAAAGTTCTTTTTGTTTTGACTTGGGACAGGATCACACTATGCAGTCCTGGCTGGACTCCATGCCGAGCAAGGCTCAATCTCTTATCTGATAAAATGATAGAGGAAAACCTTCCAGTGTACAAAGAAAAATTCTCTGTCCACAAAACCCTTCCTTTTTTCATCCTTGCTAAGCACACATCTCCCTAATGTCCAAAAGGGAGGCAAACTCACCTCTCTGCATACAGCTGCAATCTGCGCTTCGTCCATGCAGGTTTCTGTTACAACATCAGTGAGTGACCCACCAGCAAGGTACTCCATTACCACAAACAACTCATCTCCTACCAAGTAACTGAAAAAGAACATACGAAATACACATGGATTTTAAAATTTTTTCTAATAACATGGCTCTCTGCATTGTGGAATTAAAGTGCCATGCACAATAATAGTAAAACCAAAGAGTCAATAAATAGTTTGAGAACTCGGAACAGCACTTGACAGTCAGAAAAGCACAAATGAAGATGTCCTTATCTGGGTGTAGTGGCGTATATCTTTAAACCCAGTGCTTGGGAGGCATCGAGCCAGGCGGATCTCTATGAGTTTAAGGCCAGCCTGGTCTACACAGTTGAGGTTCCGAACAGTCAGAGCTACATGGTGAGACTCTGTCTAGAAAAAACAAAACAGAATAAGACAAAAACAAACAAACAAATTAAGATGCTCTCAGCTGGGTGAGGACAATACCAATACTCAGGAAACAATTAAAAAGATCACCCTGAATTAGAGGCCAGCAGGGTAAGATACTTGTCTCAAACAAAACAAAACAAAAGCCACAAAAAGAAAAAAAAAAAAAATTCAGAATCATTTTAACGTCATAGTTTCAACACTGTTTGAGTATATATGTGTATATGTGTTATTGGAATTAGAATAATCCAAGGAAAGCAGTATTTTATTTAAATTAACTTAAGTGTGTCAATGTTTTGCCTGTGTATGTGTCTATGCACCAATGTGCATGCCTAAAGGCAAGCAGAGAGTACTGGATACCCTGGGACTGCAAACAGAGCTGTGAGTCACTTTGTGGGTGATTAGAATTGAACCCCAGTCCTCTGTAAGAGTAGCCACTAAGCCATCCTTCCAGCACTGTGAAATTAATATAGAAGGCAAGAAAACGAGTGGCTGGAGTGATGATTCAGTGTTAGGAGAACTGCCTGCCTTTTCAGAGATCTGAGCCTGGTTCCCGGCATCCATACTGGAAGGTTCAAAACCACTTGTAACTCCAGTTCTAGGATTCCAACAGTCCTCTGGCCTCTACAGGCACCGTTATGCCAACTATTGCATACACAGACAAGCAGACACATATATACACATCAGTAAAAAAATTCTTAAAAGGGGAAGAGTAAGCAATGTAACCATATTATATATAATTTAAAAAAAAATAAAGAAGATTCCAAAAAGAAAGCAAGGAAACAGACCTGAGAAATTTGTTTCTTTGAATATAGTCCTCACAAATAAGGCTTAAAGTCTCAAAATATATTATCCTTCCCCTATTGTAAGCAATTTAAATATAGAAAATAATCTGTAATCTACTGTAACTAATATAATCTATGTTATTATTCACTAAAGTAAATGTGATTCCTTTTTTAAAATGTCATTTGTAATATACACAATTGTATATTCTGCCTTCCATGGTTTAACACAATATCTAAGCTCAGAGACCTTTTGAGAGCAGCCTGAGGTGGAGACATGAAAAGTAACATCTGCAATAGAACCAGCTGGGCATGGGTGGCACAGGCTCTGTTCCCAGCTTCCCAAGAGGCCAGGAAGTTATGTAAAATAAAAACTAATCTCACAGTTTAAAAACTGGGTGGCTGGTCATCTCTGAGATCACGGCACTCATCACGGCCTGCGATTCCTTCCTGTTTCTGCTCTGATCATTTTAGTGAGTACAAGCACCACCAGCAGTCCTTCAGGGACTGTCAAGTGAGATCCTAGAGAAAGGCCCTCAGTGCAGGCGACTGTTTCACCCCTTACTTCTCAGCACTGCCTTTCTAATCTGAAGTGCTATGTTTGCACCAAAAAAACCCTGCAAATGCCGGGCGGTGGTGGTGCACGCCTTTATTCCCAGCACTTGGGAGGCAGAGGCAGGTGGATTTCTGAGTTCGAGGCCAGCCTGGTCTACAGAGTGAGTTCTAGGACAGCCAGAACTACACAGAGAAACCCTGTCTCGAAAAAACAAAACAAAACAAAACAAACAAAAAACCAAAAAAACCCCAAAAAACCTCATATTTACCTGTCCAAGAAGTTAACTATGTTGGGATTCTTTAACTCTTTCATCACCAGAATTTCATTAATGATCAATTCCTTCTTTGGTTGTTTCTGTAAATTAATCTGCTTGATAGCAACCTGTAATAAACATATTTGAAACATCAAGACAGCATTCCTAATTCTCTAACAAAATTACAAGCACTGATTAGTTAGTAATTCACCATGTACAGCTCACAAAGCAAGGCTGTGCCTTGCTCATATAGCTGTTTTTGCATCTATATAACTTATGCACAATGTTTGGTGATACAGATCTTAAATTATGCTTAAATTTATACTTCAAACATTTTTTAAATGCTATTTTGCCTGTTTTATGTATGTAGGCTGGCCGGGCGGTGGTGGCCCAAGCCTGTAATCCCAGCAATTGGGAGGCAGAAGCAGGAGGATTTCTGAGTTCGAGGCCAGCCTGGTCTACAGAGTGAGTTCCAGGACAGCCAGGGCTATACAGAGAAACCCTGTCTCGAAAAAACAAAAACAAAATAAAACAAAAAGTGTGGGCTGCACATGTGCCACGGCTGCATGTGCTGAACCAGAGGGAATGAGCTGAGAAGAACGAGTGCCCTTCCCCACAGAGCCATCTCACCGCGACCCACCCTAGATTTATCTTCAGGGTTACTAACTAACCTAAGGTCAGTCTAAATTCAAACTGGTAAATACTTAAAAGGGATTTTTTTTATTCATGATACTAAACGCATTCACTCTTTGTTCACCTAACATAATAACTGCTGTTAAGACTTAACAGATCAATTGTTATACCACATCTAGGGCTAGGGAGACAGCTCAGCTGGTAAAGCTCTTCCAGCCACCAAGATCTGAGTTCCTTCCACCCTAAACCCTGCTGTGGTGGCATGCACTGATGTGTTGGCTTCCTGGACAGCCAGCTTCAGTTATTTGGTAAAGACAGCCCCTGGTTACTACATATTCATGTATATGGAAGCATGCATTCATTTTCCTTTTAGTATACAAAGAGCTAACATGCAAACAGGCAGACTTGAGTAGTAGCTACCTCTTGTCCCAGGGCCACATCAGTTGCAGTAAAAACTGTTCCAGAAGCCCTGAAGGAAAAAAAGATAGAATGAAATCTGCATTCTTATCAACTATAGAATTTACACAATTCAAACTTCAGACTTTGAAAACTAAAACAAGATTTAACATGTTAGACTCAAGAGTAATGAAAAACAAAAACAAAACAACAAAAAAGAGGAAAACAAAGAGGCAATCCTTATGGCCAAGACTTACATATGAAGTATTTCAGACCTATAGAAATATAGAAAAGCAGCATACAGTCACAAATCTACTTCAGTGCTTAAGAAATAAAGAAGTGGAGTGGTGGTGCACACCTTTAAGACCAGTTCTCAGGCGGTGGAGACAGGGAGTTTGAGGCCAGCCTGGTCTATATAGTCTATATAGTGGGTTCTAGGACAGCCAGGGCTATGTAGAGAAAGACCCCGTTACACAGAAAAACCAAAACCACAACAAAAACTAACAAAACCAGAAAAAAAAAAATTCAAAACAGAAAACAAACCAAAAAAATAAGCCCTTCTCTGCAATCAAAGAAATACATAGGGTGTACATGTCTATGACACTGCTCAGAGTGCAAGGCAGGAGGCTGATGCTGACTCACCTCTCTAGCCCAAGAATTATTCTTGTTCATTCATCATCATTACTATGTAACTATCTATTATTACCCAAAAATACAAAGGTTAAAAAAGGCTGGAGAGAGCCGGGCGGTGGTGGCGCACGCCTTTAATCCCAGCACTTGGGAGGCAGAGACAGGCGGATTTCTGAGTTCGAGGCCAGCCTGGTCTACAGAGTGAGTTCCAGGACAGCCAGGACTATGCAGAGAAACCCTGTCTCGAAAAACCAAAAAAAAAAAAAAAAAAAAAAAAGGCTGGAGAGATGGCTCAGCGGTTAAGAGCACTGACTGCTCTTCCAGAGTTCCTAAGTTCAATTCCCAGCAACCACATGATGGCTCATAACCATCTGTAATGGGATCTGATACCCTCTTCTGGTGTGTCTGAAGACAACTATAGAGTACATAAAATAAATAAATAATTCTTAAAAACAAAAAAACCCAAAAAACAAAAAACAAAAAAAGGCTGGAGAAGTAGCTCAGTAGTAGAGGTCCTGCCTGGATGCACAAAGCTCTAGGTTTAATCCTCAGCACTGAAAAAAAAAGGGTGACTTTCATTTTTTTGTTATTAAAACCAGTGCTACAAATAAGATTTGTAGAGAGAATAAAACAAAAACCCAGTACTGCCAAAAGCCTGCAACAAATATGTTAATTGTCTTTAAAATACACTATAATTTTTCTATCTGATCCCTTACCACCTATGGGAAAGGACATACAGCAAAAAGCAACAAAAACCACACATAGTGACACACAGCTGTGGTCCTGGCACTAGGGAAGCTGGATGGAGGATCACTAAAATTTGAATTACATAGTGCATGTGGGGCCAGCCTGGACTACATCGGGAACCCTTATTAAAGATGATGATGATGATGATGATGATGCAGGAAGTGAAAAGGAGAACAGGGTCAGGGAAAGAAGGAGACAAGGAGGGAGGACAGACAATGTAAAGCTACTATTAACCAGTGCTGGATTAGGTTTATTTTTTTGAGACAGGTCTCGCTATGAGCTAATAATGCTATTCCCCAACCTGTAGCAATCCTGCCTCAGCATCTCAGGTGATAGGTTTACAAGTGTGTATCATTACAGCTAACTCAGAAGTGCAGTTTTATTTTAACATACATACATAATATACATACAACTGAGTTATGTATTTATAATCTGCAGAACAGTTCTGTGCTCAGTGTCAGAGGGAAGTGTCATACTGAATGATGTCAGAAGAGAGCAGCACTTACCCTTGACCAATTTTTTCATATCTTGTGTATTTTTTCTTAGGGTCACCTATGCTCACAATAGTTCCTGTTTTAAACAAAAATTAGAAATCAGTCAAGCAAACTAAATGCAAACAAAATTTGACAATTATTCCTTTTAATATCTACACTGATTATAAAAGTGCTTTTCCATATGCCAAGCTTTAAAATAATTGGCTTTAAATAATCAACATTAAAAAAAAATAAGTAGGAGCTGGAGAAATGTCTCACTGGTTGAAAGAACAGGACCTGGGTTCAGTTCCCTGCACCCACGTAGTGGTTCACATCCACCCATGACTCCAGATCCAACCTCTGCTGGCACCAGGTATGCACTCAGTACACACACAGGCAAAAGGCTTAATACACAGATTTTAAAGTTGAAAAGAAAACAAGAAGAATAAGCAATAAAAGGTGGTTGCACTTTTCCATCAGTTATCTTTGTTTGTTTGTTTTTCGAGACAGGGTTTCTCTGTGTAGCCCTGGCTGTCCTGGAACTCAGTCTGTAGACCAGGCTGGCCTCAAACTCAGAAATCCGCCTGTCTCTGCCTCCCAAGTGCTGGGACTAAAGGCGTGCATCACTATGCATGACCAGGTTAGACTTCTTAATCACTTTCTTAGAAATCATAACATTTTAGTATAACCAATTGTCTCAGTGAGCCTAAAACTCATGGGGTCCTCAGAATGTAGGGCTATAACATTACTAATTTAAAAACCAAAACCAAAACAAAACAGGGTCTCATCTATCCCAGGCTAGCCTGGAACTCACTATGTAGCCGAAGATAATCTTGAACTTTTGACCTTCTTGCTTCCACCTCATAAATGCTAGGATGCAAGTATTCAGCATCCTATCCTATTCCTGTAATTCTGGGACCTAACATCTTAGCGCATGCTAGGCAAGCACTCTACCAACTCAGCTCCTCAGCCCTTTTCTTAGACTATTATTTGTTTGCGATATCCATGACTAACTCAGAACCTACTTTGTAGCCTAGGCTAGCCTTGAAGTCATACCAATATCCTGGCTCAGCCTCCCAAGTACTGAGATTTCAGATAAGAGTCACCATGCCCATCTAGGACTTTGAAAAACTATGAAATGACTATCAGAAATAATAAATAAATAGATAAATAAATAAATAAATAAATAAATAATAGCCGAATAATCCTTAAGTGGCCGTTCAAATGTTTCCAGTCCATCCTCTACTTTCCTTTATCCTTATAAAAACTAAGTGTACTGGAAAAAAAAACTTTAATATGCTAAGAGATAGTAAATTCAGGAAATTGCAGAAAAGGTATAAATTAAACTCATATTTACTATTAGGTCAAATGTGAGAAAATGGTACAGCACTGTCACTTGCTCAAGGTAAGACATGAACATGTGACGCTCAGTCAGAGGAGTCTACAAGTCCCCACCACACGCCAGCCACTTCACTCTGGGCTACACAACAAAGTCAAACCCACAGTAGGACAAAGCTGCAGAGAACCACAGCAAAGAGGACAAGATTACTGAGTGGTAACTTGATGGCGGCACCACTGCTCTGGCTTACCACTTGAAGTAGTAGCTTTCCTAAGAGAAGGGACATTATGTATTTCTACAAAACGCCAGAGTAAAAGCAGGTTCACACTTTAAAGTATTGAGGAATAAAAGCAGTAACTAGAGCTTAAACACTATCTACACACAATCCTTCCCTGACTACCCCTCCCTCACGACCACCACCACCACCACTACGCCAGTGCTCTTTGAAGCTGTTTAAGATTTTCAAGTAGGTATTGTTACCTTTCAATGCTTGACCTAAACCAACAGTGGTGGGTTGTGGGTTAAAAGGAAAGAAAAGAGCCTACTCCTCCAGACTTTATGCTGACATACATGACAGAAGGTCACTTTCTTTAGGAACATTCGTGTTTACTGTGGTGTCTTTGGAGGTCAGGACACTTTGGGAGTGGTTCTCTTCTTTCTACATTTGGATCCTAGGGATGAACTCAGGCCCTCAGACGGTGCTGTGCCCTTGCTCATGGAACTGTCTCACCAGTCCATAAGAGACATTTTATAGGTTTGTACTGAGAAACTGGAAGTGCACATACAAACACACAAACCCCTTTGACAGAGTTGTGTCCTTTTGAAGTGGATGGCAGGGATCAGTTTTGCACACAGTAAGCAAGTGCTCCCAAACGAGCAATAATTCTCCCCATCTCTGGGACAAAGGTTTTTAAACAATGAAGTGTAGACTGCATACTTAATTTCTCCATAATCTCTTCATCCGTCATCTTGGCTTTCTTTTTCTGTTTGTCTGAAGACTTGGCACCACTGTCAACATTAGAATCACCAGCTGGAGCAGGAATAGGGTCGATGACAGACCGTGTGTAAATCTGCAGAGATATAGGTCATTGATGAGACTTGAGAAAAAACATTTTCAGATGATCTTAGTATAGCAGAAAATTCCTTGTTCGCCCCACCCCCCCTTTTGCAAAGCTAAGTTCTCTCTCCCACTGTTTTGAAAAATGGGAAAGAGTACAGTCACACAAGGAACACACAGCTAACAGGCACAGTGGTGCAACAGGTGTAATGTGGTGGACAGATAACACATCCATACACATAAAATAAAAAATACTAAAAGAGCAAGCTTGCAGCTAGGCATGGGTGCCTGAGAGGCAGAGACAGAGGTCAGGAGATCCAGGCCAGCATCAGCTACATAGTGAGTTTGAAGCCAGCCTAGACTACGTAAGACCCTGGCTCAAAACAAAACAAAAAATGAACCCTAACACAACTTACTCGAGAAAAGAATAAGGGTCTTGACATAGAAATAACTATAACTACCTGTCCTGTAAATTTTACAAAAATTGGACATTTTCCTTTTCTTTCAAACAGCCTGTCCTAGTCTCAGACCTGTCTGCCGAGCCTGCTCTCAGAGTCCTGTGGCAGCACAAGCATCAGTGTGTGTGTGTGTCTCTCTCTCTCTCCCTCTCTCCCTCTCTCCCTCTCTCCCTCTCTCTTTCTCTCCAGCCAGAAGGGCAGGGCAGGTAACAGTTTCTTATTGCCAGGAGCCTTGTAACCCCTACTCTTAAAATTCTCTTAGTTGGTGAGTAGTTTCAGTCTTCAATACTTCTTCATTAGACATACAGCCCTTTGAGAACAAGATTAAAATCTATAACCCAGGGAAGAGCGATGATCTAAATTTTAGATACAATAGTAACCTACATTGAGAAAGCTAAAGAAAGACATACTCTTTAGACTAGGGGGGAAATCTAGAAAAGAAAGCCTCGTAAGCTAAGTATTTTAACTTTTGAAGAAGCTGTTAATTTTCTTTTCTGTTTGTTATTTGAGAGATAGGGTCTAGTGTATTAGTATGCAGCTCTAGCTGGCCTGGAACTCTCTAAAGTAGCTGGCCTCCAACTCACAGAGACTATCTGCCATACTGGGATTAAAGTTGTACACCACCACACACACTCAGGACATTACGTTTCAAAGTAGTTTTTATGGATTTTAATTTACTTATTGTATGTATGTGTGTGCACACATGCCATAATGTGCATGTGGCAGTCAAAGGACAACTTGCAGGAGTGAGTTCTCTCCTTCTACCATGTGTGCCCCAGGGATTGGACGCAAGCAGTCAGGCTTGGTGGCAAGCACCTTTACCTGCCTGCTGAGTCACTTCATCAGCTCCGAAAGGCAGGTTCTGAAAAATAAATAACTAAGTTTCTCCGCAATACAGTATTTTAGCTTGAAGGCCTTTTAACATTTTGACTGCAAGTCAAACGGAGACCAGTGTTTTCAAAAGACACACAGTTTAAGGTCATCAGTTTGTCACTCACTGATTTTGTATGATCTGGCCGAGGGGCAATGACGGGAGGAGCAGCATCTTCATCATCATCATCTTCCTCTGTCACTACTGCTGATGTCTCTGACCCTTTGGTGTTCAGCTGCATTCATCACAACAGCAAAAGGAGGATAAACCAATAATATCCAAGGTTAAAATTGGGCTCCCCTATAAAAATAGTCTTTAAAGTTTATTTCTTCAATAGCTAATATAAAAACTACCAAACTTCCCTGGTTCCAATACAACCAATTAAAAAGTAAATGAATACATATGGTGAGTATCATTTCAGTAGAGAGGGGACTCTGCTAAGGATTGAACCTGAGGCTTGTGTATGATGTGGCTGTTCTACCACTGAGCTACGTTTGGAGCTCCCAAGTATACTGGGGCACTATTCCTGCCCTTTACACAAGCACACATGGCACTCTGTTAAGTAAGCAATCTTCTTCTTAGGACCAAACTGAAGGTTCTCTGGACTCTGTAAACCTCGTTTTGAGGAATTTAAAAGATCCAGATTCACCAGTTAACAAATCGAGAAAAGGAGCTGACAAGTGTTTCAACTATTTAGAATGTACACAGTTTACCACACAACGGTACTGGGAGGACATCTGGGGAGGAGAGAATATGCCACCTAGTTCACTATACTCAGGTTCACTATGGCAACACTGGAGAAGTAGTTAAATTGCTCTGGAAGCCATTATAAAGATTAGTTGCTTTAAACTGCCCAACAAGCAGATCCTATTTACTTAATATGGTTCCTTCAATTAATGAAATGGCTAACTTAAAAGAAAAAAATAAATATATTCATATAATTTTTTTAAAGATGTATTTATTATGAGTACACTGTAGCTGTCCTCAGACACACCAGTAGAGGGCATCTGATCCCATTACATATGGTTGTGAACCACCATGTGGTTGCTGGGAATTGAACTCAGGACCTCTGGAAGAGGAGCCAGTGCTCTTAACTGCTGAGCAATCTCTCTAGCCCCCTGTTCTTATATATTTACCAAACAAAATAAAAATAGACTTGTAAGCAACCTAAATTAGAACAGAAACTATAATAAATTATTAACTTACTGCTGGTGTTCCAGAAGGGAAGCCATCTTTCTCTGAATGTGAAACAGAAAAGATATTACCAATTTGAGAATGAAAACTGGGAAATGACTGGGGGTTGGGGTTGGGGGTGGGGGAAGCAAGCAGGCAGGGTTTTGCTATGTAGCCATGGCTAGCCTGATGTCTGCTATAGTCCCTGCTAGTCATTGCCTCTCCCCCAGCCCCCATTTTAGATTTTATTATGTTAAGTGTATCATTGGCTGGTGTGGAGCTCCAAATGCAGACCAGTATGTCTTTGAACTCACAGAGATCTACCTACCTCAGATGAGTCGAGCTGCACTTCAACGTCAAAGCCTGTCATATCTGTATAGTCTGTCCCTCCCACTTTAGCCCACTCACAGCCATCTCTAGCTGACTTGTCTATATATTTAAACACTCTGCCTTCTACTGCTGGCAGCTATTTAAGGGCATCAAAGAGGAAACGATTAAATAGGCAGAGAGCCCAAACATTGACCAACTCTATTTCTGGCAAAATGATGAGGTTAATATAATCTCCAGACTCCCAATCATGCTCTGGGCCAACCTCATCATACTCTAAAGGGCAGATTTATGCAGGAGAGAAGGAGCGACAACAGTTATACTTCCATCTTGCATTTTCCCCATAGGAATCTTTTATCTGGCCTACAAGGCTCATGCACTCTGCATTCGGTCCAGCCTCTGACCACTGCCTGGAGTCTTACCAGGAGGAGTGAAACTCAGGTACTTCTGTTTCACAGTGTTGGAGTCATAGAACTTCAAGACATCCAGCACGGCCTGAGGGTTCTTCTTCTGCTCGAGTTTGGTGATGTTGGAGGTCTGCAACAGCCTCGCCCACTGTTCTGGCATGCCCTAACCAAAAGAAATCCACAAATTAGTTATGGTTTAATGCTCTAATAAAAAACCTTTCACATTGGTCTACAGAGTGAGTTCCAGGACAGCCAGGGCTACACAGAGAAACCCTGTCTCGAAAAACCAAAAAATAAAATAAAATAAAATAAAATAAAATAAAATAAAATAAAATAACATTTCACAGACCAATGACAACACCTACACACCATGTTATGGAAGGCTGTGAGTTTTATGTGTGGGTGCTGGGAACTGAACCAGGTCTTCTGCAAGAGCAAGGGCTCCTAACTACTGAGCCAGCTCTACAGCCCATACATACTTATTTTTGAAACAAAGTTTTAATTATATAGCTCAGCCTGGCCTGGAACCCAAGATATTATGAGTTCCAGTTTCCTTACTTTTAGGATTATAAAAGTACAATGGTTTTTACCTTGTTTTTGGAGACAAGAGTTTCTCTGTATAACCCCAGCTGTCCTGGGACTCCTTTACTCTGTAGACTATACTGGCCTCAAATTCAGACATGTGCCTACCTTCCAAGAGCTAGGATTAAAGGTGTATGCCACCATGTCCTGCCAAAAGTCTAGGGCTATGTGGTCAAAGGACAGACTCTAGTGTGGTCCTCCAGTACCTTCTAAATCTTGTTTGAGATAGGATCTTCTACTGTCCTAAAATGCTACCAAATAGGTTGGGAGTGCAGGATCACACCACAGCATTTGGCTCTTTATGTGAGTTTTAAGGACCTGAATTCAGATCTTTTCATACTTGTAAGATAAGCATTTTCCCAAGTGAGTCATCATCCTATCCCTATCCATTTCTCTGTGTCTTAGTTAGGGTTTCACTGCTGTGAACAGACACCATGACTAAAGCAACTCTTATACATTTAACTGGGGCTGGCTTACAGGTTCAGAGGTTCAGTCCATTATCAAGGTGGGAGCAAAGCAGTATCCAAGAAGGCATGGTGCAGGAGGAGCTGAGAGTTCTACATCTTCATCTGAAGGCTGCTAGCAGGATACTGACTTCCATGGAGCTAGGATGAGGGTCTTAAAGCCCATACCCACAGTGACACACCTACTCCAACAGGGCCACATCTTCTAATAATGCCATTCCCTGGGCCAAGCATATACAAACCATCACACTCTGTATCTGCTTTTCCTAACTATAATTGATAGGCTTGGCTCTCTAAAGAAAAAGGTCATCCAATTACTAATTTATTTGAAGGTTATTTTATGTATGTGAGTATTTTGCCTGCATGTATATGTATGTCCACCTATACATAGGACCTATATGCATGATGCACTCAGAGGTCAGAAACAGGCATCAAATACACTGGAACTAGAGTTGTGGGTGGTTGCTGGTGCTGGAAATGGAACCCAGATCCTCTGCAAGAACAAGTATTCTAAATTTTTGAGCCACCTTTCCGGCCCCAATCACTAATATTTTTATGACAAGAAAAAACCAGTAAGAATTGACAACTAATTCTAATCATTGTAGTCAGTATATAACCCCACACTCTGACACCTAAAAGCAGGAGGATTTAGAGTTCCAGGTTTTACTGGGACATAGTGAGACTTTGCTTTAAACAAACAACAACAACAAAAATGAAAAGAAAGAAAAAGAAAGAGAACTGATAATCCTATGGGATAGAAAAAGTTAAACACCAGTCATGTGAGCCCATAGTTATCACCCTAGCACATGGTCAGCAGAGACAGGAGTACTAAATTCAAGACCAGCCTTAACTACAAAATGAGTTTGTGGGAGGCCAGCCTGGGCTACATAAAAGTTTTGTCTCAAAAAAACCAGAGAGAAAAATTGATTTCAAACCCAACACTGAAGAAAATGCTTGAGTACCTTTTCTGGTTTCCTATCTTGACTGTGTGCACATTTTCAGAGGTCAGAGGATCACCTCAGGCATGGCTGTCTTCCTCCTTGAGACCACAGTGGCCGCCACATGAGCATGCCGTCTCTGGTTCCTACTACATAGTAGGAGCACTACAATCACTTATTGTCTGGTTATGTGCACGCTGGAGATTTGAACTCAGGTCCTCATATTTGCATAGTAGATGCTTCTCTTTCTCTTTAGAGACAGGGTTTCTCCATGCAGCCTTGATTGTCCTGGAACCATGTAGACCAAACTAGTCCTGAAGTTAGAGATCCACCTGCCTCTGCCTCCCAAGTGCTGGGATTAAAGGTGTGCTACTACTGCCCAGCCAGTAAGTGCTTCTTCCCACCGAGCTATTCTCTAACCCTTTAGCACTGCTTTAATGTCATAAACAAACCTCATTAGGTAAACTTACAGTGAACTCTCCCGTAACAGCATCAAAGCCAACATGGATGGTGTGCTCAAAATCAGATGGGGGAGAAATCTCTGGTCGTTCTTTTTCTTTCTTTTTACTTCCTGGGGGATTGGGGAGAAAATTATCTCTTTAAACAAGGCTAATTATGGCATTTATTACTGTGTTTTTATTTTCCTTAAACCAACTAGGAATGAAATTATGATAGAAAACTGGTACACAAAACATGCACCCTGCTGGAGGGCGCCTCCAAAGATACAATTTACGGATGCTGCTTGTGAAAGCTGACTTCTTCCTTCTTTCCCTCCCTCCTCCTCCAACTTGCTTTTCTGAGAATGAGGCCTCATTCTCCAGCCCATACTGGCCTCAAATTCATGGCAATTCTCCTGTATAGCCTAAGAATATTAAGGTTGAATGCATGAGTTACTATACCTGGCTTACGCTTTTCTTTTTATTAGTTTGTAAACATTACATCTTTAAATTACCCAACTATCTTATAGTTGCACTGTAAAAAAATTATTGCAACATTCTTGCAACATCAGACACATTTTTTGCACATTCATACTACACATCAATTCCTTCTCCCCAGTCCTCCTCCTTTAATCTGTGGCTCTTAAAACCATGGATCTATTTCTGGATGCTCTGCTCTCTTAAAATCATCTGTCTATCATTATGCCAATCCTGTCTATCTTGATTACTGTCATCTTTATAACAAACATCAAAAGTACAGTCTAAGTGCTCTTTTTATTTTTTTCAAATCTGCTGGGATTTCAGGACATCTACATTTCTATATGAAATTAACAATGTTTTACATTTCTACAAAAGCCTTCTAGGGCTGTGACAGGAATTGCATTAATCTATAAATCAACTTAGAATTTATACACATTTGCATTCTGATCCATGGCCAACAACAAATCTCAATGAATTAGGTGTTTAATTTCTCTCAGCAATGTTTGCTAGTTATTGGGAGACAGATTACTGACCCTACCATTACTTTCATATTTCTGTAAAGGAATACTTATTTTTGATGCTACTAAAAATGACAGTTTTGGTGTTGGGAATGTAGCTAAGAGGTAGCTTGCTTGTTTAGCATGATTGGAGCCTGGGGTTCAGCCCCACCAGAAAACACAAAATAAACCTCATTCTTTAGGGCTAACCTTCAGACACTTTTACTTACTTTTAAATTTTTTGTAGGCATCCCAAGATTTTCTATAAGTAATATGCTATGGTGAACTAAAGAGAGGCTGCCATATCCTTCCTAATTTGGATAATTTACTCATCCACTCATTTCACCTTATTGAATTAGCTAGCCCCTAAAACATGGTTAAGTGAAGGTGGTTTTTTTGTTTGTTTGTTTGGTTTTGGTTTTTCGAGACAGGGTTTCTCTGTGTAGCCCTGGCTGTCCTGGAACTCACTTTGTAGACCAGGCTGGCCTCGAACTCAGAAATCCACCTGCCTCTGCCTCCCAAATGCTGGGATTAAAGGCGTGTGCCATCACCGCCTGGCAAGTGAAGGTGTTAATAGGTATTTTTGTGTTTTTACTGAAACAGGGGATGAAAACAGTCACTGTTTTTTTTTAGTTTAATAAACAGTCAATGTTTCTAACACGCCCTTTATCAAATTTATTACATTTCCTTCGATTTCAAGTTTGTTCAACACTTATGCCAGAAATAAATATTGCATTATGTCAAATGTCTTCTACATCTACTTATATGGCCATACAGCTTATCCTAAATTACACACATTTCCAAATGTTTAACTGGCCTTGCAGTCATGAAATAAACTCTACTTGGTCCTGATCAATTGCTCTTCTTATACACTGCTAGATTATCACTGTTAAAACTTTGCCAACTACAAGAAAAATATAGCTCTCTTTCTTTTGTAAAGTTTGGTTTGGGTAAAGTGAAGTCACTAAATGTATCAGAAAACATGTTATATTCTATTTTCTGGATATTATATAGAATTGTTTTCTTTCTCTCTCTTTCTTTCCTTCTTTCCTTCTTTCTTTCTTTCTTTCTTTCTTTCTTTCTGTTTTGTTTTTTTGAGACAGGGTTTCTCTGTATAGCCTTTGCTGTCCTGCAACTCACTCTGCAGACCAGGCTGGCCTCGAACTCAGAAATCCGCCTGCCTCTGCCTCCCAAGTGCTGGGATTAAAGGTATGTGCCACCACTGCCCGGCGTTTTCTTTCTTTCTTTAATACTTCATTGATTCACTAATGAAGGCAGGCAGGTCTTACAATTTTTTTTGTAGAAAAGGTTTTAGCTATAAACTAAATATTTTAGGACATACACAGTCTTTAATCTTTTTTTTAAAGTAAACTTTGGAAATCTGTACCTTTAAGAAAAGAATCATTTACCATAACTTGAATTTATCAGTACATACCTGTATATAACATTTCATTGTGTATCAGTGGAGATTGAACCTGGACAAGTATTTGCTAACCATATGCTCTGCCCTGACTTTCACTCCCAATTTCAGCAAACCTTTTATTATAACCTAACAAGCAATTTTATATATATTAAAAAAAAAAAAAAACACTTCAGCCAGTGGTGGTGGTGCACGCCTTTAATCCCAGCATTTGGGAGGCAGAGACAGGTGGATTTCTGAGTTCGAGGCCAGCCTGGTCTACAGAGTGAGTTCCAGGACAGCCAGGGCTACACAGAGAAACCCTGTCTCAAAAAAACCAGAAAACACTTCATATATACAGACAGTAGTGGCACATGCATTTAATCCTAGCACTCAGGAGGCAGAGGCAAGCAGAGATAGGCAGATCTCTATGAGTTCAAGGCCAGCCTGGTCTACAGAGCAAATTCCAGGACAACCAGGGCTACACAGCAAAACCTCATCTCGAAAAACAAAACAAAATAACAAAAACAAGAAAAAAGAATCCTAAATAACAAACCAACAAAAAACCAACTTCATTTAGAAAAGTAGAAACTATAGTTTTGGCTCTTTTATTAGTCATTTTTGCAATCATCTGAATCTAGTTTTATTATTCCTTTCCATCTATTTACCTTTTGAAGTTACGATCCAATGACATTTACTATATTCATAATTTCACACTCATTACCACCATATATATAACTAGCATGTTTTATCAACTCCTAAAGAAACCTTTTCTTAATTAGCAGTCACTCATTCTACTCTAACCCTTCAGCAACTAATAATGTCTTTTCAGTTTCTTATTTATTTTTATGTGTGTCTGCTTGAGTATATGTGCACTATTTGTGTGCACATACCCTCAAAGGCCAAAGGAAGCCATCAGATGCCCTAGAACTGAAGTTCCAGGTGGCTGTCAGCTATGTGATGTGAGCACTAGGAACCAAACCTGCGTCCTCTGTAATGACAGCAAGTGCTCAGTGCTCTTAACTGCTGACTCCTCCAATTTCTTTTTTTTTTTTTTTTTATCATTTTATTACATGAGTACATTGTAGCTGTTTTCAGACATACCAGAAGAGGGCATCAAATCCCATTACAGATGGTTGTGAGCCACCATGTGGTTGCTGGGAATTGAACTCAGGACCTCTGGAAGAGCAGTCAGTGCTCTTAACCACTGAGCCATCTCTCCAGCCCCAAACTATATGTAATGACTTCTTTTTTTTTTTTTTTTTTTTTTTTTTACAGGGGGTCTCTGTATAGCCCTAGCTGTCCTGGAACTCACTCTGTAGACCAGGCTGGCCTCGAACTCAGAAATCCGCCTGTCTCTGCCTCCCAAGTGCTGGGATTAAAGGCGTGCACCACCACCGCCCGGCTCCAATTTCTTAAAAAAAAAAAAGAAAAGAAAAGAATATTTTGTATCCTAATGTGTATTAATTAGTATTTTGTACCATATATATAGAAGTGCACCACCTATATGCATTGTCTGTTGAAGTCAGTAAATAGCATCAGATTTCTGTAACTGGAGTCTCAGAAGGTTGTGAATCATCCTGAGGATATTAGGGACCAAACTCAACAGTGACTGTTCTTAAACACCAAGCCACATCTCCAGCTGCTAAATCTTTCTTTCATGTTATTTATTTCTATTATTTTATTTAATTTGTTCATTATTTGTAACATATAACTGTTATCTTTTACATTTCCCATCCATGTGCCTTTAAAAAAAAAAAAACTCTGGGAGAATTTTCTTGATTATCTTCAAAGCCTCCAATTGGTATCACATTTGTTCTGTTAATTTTTTTTTTTGTTTTGTTTTGTTTTTTGAGACAGGGTTTCTCTGTATAGCCCTGGCTGTCCTGGAACTCACTCTATAGACCAGGCTGTCCTGGAACTCAGAGATCTGCCTGCCTCTGCCTCCCAAGTGCTAGGATTAAAGGCATGCGCCACCACTGCCTGGCTTGTTCTATTAATATTTTTTTTAAAGATTTACTTTATATGTATGAACATGCTGTAGCCGTCCTCAGACACACCAGAAGAGATAAGTATCAGATCCCATTACAGATGGTTGTGAGCCAGCCACCATGTGGTTGCTGGGAATGCAACCCAGGACCTCTGGAAAAGCAGTCAGTGCTCTTAACCACTGAGTTATCTATCCAGGCCCTGTTCTGTTAATTTTAAATACTCATTCCCCAAGAATTATTTCTCATTGTTCTTTGATCATTGTTTTCCTCTGACAAGAATTTGTCTTTTTTTCTCAAAGATTATTCTGTGTATACATGTAAGTTGGCTGAGTTATCTGGCTTGCTGGTTTTCTGCTTAGGTGGAATGCTTCTTTTAAAATTTCTATTTAGTAGAATTACAGATTTTTGGAGATAGGGTATGCAGCTTTGGCTAGACTTTGGCTAGACTTGATTTTACTTAATAGTTCAGGCTGGCCTCACAGGCATGTGTCATCTGGTACACCCTGATGCTCTGGGCTCTTCTGTCTACATGTTTTCTTCAGATGTCTGGTGACTCTTTGCTGTCCTTTTTTTTTTTTTTAAAGATTTATTTATTTTATTTTATAAGTTCACTGTAGCTGTCTTCATACACACCAGAAGAGGGCATCAGATCTCATTACAGATGGTTGTGAGCCACCATGTGGTTGCTGGGATTTGAACTCAGGACCTCTGGAAGAGCACTCAGTGCTCCTAACCACCGAGCCATCTCTCCAGCCCTTTGCTGTCCA